ACAAGGATCAATGAAGGAAGACAACAAAGCCCAAAAATAGTAGTTAAGGAGAATTAACACATATATATGTATCTAGTTTAAATTTACTAGAGGTAATCAGCCAATATAGCAGACAGATGAGTAAGATAAGAGGGTTAAGAATGTTGAAATGCAAATGAAATATAATAGAAGGGGAAACAATATAAGGTGAGCAATATCAATTGGCAATTGCTATTAGAAAGAACAGGAAGCTCCTGTTCGTATTGTATTGTGTAAATGTGGTGTACGTCTAAGTTTTGTGTTTGGATGTATTTTACATGTTTGTAAATAAAAAATTAATGAAAAATAAAAAAATAAAACCATCACATTCGCTTAACAACTACCATAAAAACGTACAGAAAATTACTTCCGGTCAACTGGATGCCTCAACCTATGACTACAGCAATTCATGGTCATAAGTCTGTAGCAACAAAGCTTATTTGAGTTCATGAAACTTTAGAATTCTGTGTTAGTACCAATTTTACCTTGTGCTCAGAATATCATGTTTTAGTAAGTGGACTGGGGAGGATACTTTGTTTTCTATCCATTTTCTTTAGCTTTCTCTGAAATTATTATTTTTCCATTTTCATATGGAATATTGTATTTTCTTTCTGGTTGTACTAGAAAACAATCTTTGCAGGTTTAATGTTGTTCAGGAAGTACGGCTGTGTTACTTCAGTGCTCTGTTCTTCCCTTTAATTATAGCAACTAGCTTTTTCTTTCAACATCATTACTCACTTTTGTCTGCATTTTAATGCTGAGTTCCACCAGAGTAGAAGCTGGAGGTGAAAACCTCTTCTGGCTGAGTTTCCACATACTGACCTGACCTCATGCTTTGGACAGTGGCTTGGTAGTTCCTGCTGCCATTATCAATCCTTTGGAATGTTTCACCTGGTACGTGAGAGAAATAGAGCTTTCACACTCTTCGTTGCTTTCTAGCAATTAAAGGTTAAAATGCAAAAGTTGAAATCACTTTTATAGTATCACCTCCATATCATGTAGCATAGAGGTGTGTTAGCTAGAGATTTCAACGCCACGATCACCACCACCCCGGGGAGTAATAGAAATAACCCAATCATTAAAAAAAGATAAAATGTAATTTCCTAATCTCCACTCTTTAAAAAAATACATAAACAATCACTGTAGGGAAAGATAATTATACTGTTGCCCAGATCATGGTAATAAAACAGCTTTCAAATTAGTAATGAAAGAAAACAAAAGCAATTTTCAGTCAGCTGCAAATAAAAGGGTCACAACAAGTGTCTAAAAAGAGCCTTATTAGTGATCCATAAGAGTGAAGATGTTGGACTAGGTCTTCGAAAGCTTGGATTCAAGTCTATCGTCAGGCATGGAAGCTTACCATGCTTTTGGGCTAGTTATGTTCTCTCAGCCTTTCCATTTTCCAAACAAAGTATTGATTCGATTATTCACTTTAAAAAAAAAATAAGAGTGTTTCTAGGGCCTATGTTTGGCATTTCATAATTGGAAATATGAAAATAATTAAATCAACTGGGGCATGCAATCTATTGGAAAACTATTGAGAAGATTAACACTCCTCATGCATTGTTTTGGGGAGAAAGTTCCAGGGACACCAGGGAGGTCAAAAGAAGCTATTAACCCCACGCTTTGCATTAATTTTGCATGAAGGGACAAAG